AATGATACTTCAATGATAGTTTTATAAGTACTTGAGGATAATTGATCTCTAGCGTTAGAACCAATTTCATTCATGTATGAATTTGATGTTCTAATTTTTCCTCATCCTGAATCTTTGAGGTATATTGAATGCACTTGTGCAACACGTATTAGGATCAACGTTCTAATATTTTGATTATAACCCCATAGCATGCTAGAAGCTTGATTTCAAGTTCTTGAGTGGTTTAAAGCCTTCTAACTTTACCTTTGTTTGAATCCCTTTCATGGTTAATTTGAGATCTAAGCTTTGTGATGCATTTTGTGAAATCTCCCTTCTATTGTGCTTGTGAATCATGATGAAATAAAATTAGTATGATTGAGTAGTGGTTGCTACTGACTTCCAAGGTCTTTGAATGTATTCTTCTCAAGCTCCTATGATTCTTGATTGATATTTACTTATCAATTCAACATAGTGATAAAAAGGAGCAACAGTTCTTTAGCTTTGACATGTTTGTTGCCTATGCCTACTTGGTGTTCTCCATATCTAATGCTTTGATATTTACTACTATGTTCTTTCCATTGCCTTGTTATGTCATCATCCATCCCTCATCTAATTCACCATTTCTTCTTGAGATCACTAATTTGTCTGTTGAATGTGCGAGGTACTCTGAGAAAGTCATCCATTTTGACTTGATGAGGTAGTGTTCCACTTTATTTGTGGAACACAATTGGCTATGCTTGCACAATTTTTGTGCTTTGTATATTTGATAGTCTTTACAGGATATATATGTTATTGTGACTTATATGCACCACTTGTGGGACATGTTCATATTTGAAGCCTAAATGCTCATATTCAACGGATTGATTTCTAACTTGATTTGTTTATGGATGCTAGCTTGCTTGAAGTTCTCTGGGTTTCTTTCTCTCATTTAGTTACTATGGATAGTTATCTGTTTGGTATTGTACTACTACCCTTTTATCTCTTCCATTTACTGCTTTCTAGAGATCCTGAGAAGTAGGGTTCTTATCGCTTTCCTTACCATGTCAAGTAGGAATAGAGATGTATGACGGGGACTTTCGTTGCTGATATATGTCAAGAGTCCCTCTGGTGTATTTAAAGACTTGTTTAGGGAAATTCTGTTGGTGTGCTAATTGTGATTGTTTAAAACCTACCTTCGGGTAGGTATTATGCATGTGTGTTTATATTTATGCCCGTATAATATTACAGATGATAAGTCCTCAAAAGGAAGCGAGCGGGGAAGGGCCCGTAATCGGCCCTTGCATATTCTAGTCCGTGTCATCCTTAGCTCACGTGGTACGTCGATGGTTCAGATTCGTACAGATCATATGTATCGAGTCCGTCAAGTGGGTAAGGGTTCTGCGATCAAACCCCCACGCTTTGTCAGGAGTTCGCATTGGCCAATGCTGACACTCCGTGATCGTTCATATCATCTTCTGTCGTCTACCTCGATCTTCTATATCTTGGTCAGGTACGCAGTCGCTTTGAACATCACATTTATCTTATTTCATATGTATCCCGCTTGTTTGCTTCGGGTGATCCACTCCCCTTAGCTAAATCATTTCTCTTCATATCCCCCATCCCCAAAGTCAGTATACCATGATTGTGTGCTTTTGCCAAAGCACTTGTTTGTTTACTTGTTTGGTATTTACCATGCTCCCTTAGGATTGCTCGTGTAGGGTTAGTCCTCGAGCTAGACACTAGGATAGGTATCCAGGCATGCTAACATAGGGTAGGAATTCCCATTTTCATTCTCAACCTTAGGATCAATCATTGTATGATAATATTAGGGATAATGTTAGGCTAGTCTCCCTTAGTTATTTTTCCTTTCTTCGCATATTGCATCTTAAAACTAAAACTTCTTCTTGGAAAATCATAAAATATCTCTAATGAACTTAAACCCTTCTTTAAGGTAAAACATACAAACCAATCTTAATTGCTTGTGTGCCTTCCTGTTTTATTTTAAAATCTTATCAGATTGATGTTTCTCCATCGTTGCCATGATACCCTGTTATCTTTTAGTCGATGCTTCACCATCGCATATTTGTTTGAAGCCGATGTTTCGATATCGCACATGTTTGTTATCCTACTTTGATTCTCAATATCATTGTTAGGTATGATGTTTTGTTCTCTGGTTTATTGATGTTTCGCCATCTTTGCCATGTTATCTTCCTATCTCTTAGTCGATGTTTCGCCATCGCACATTCTTTTAGCGAGTATTTCATCATCGCACATGTTTGTTATCCTACTTTGATTTTTAATATCATTGTTAGGTGTAATGTTTCATCGTCTTGTCTAATATTTTACTATCATACTGACGCTTTATCATCTTATTTGAGTTTGTGTTGCCATGTGATTTTTTGTCATCCATTTTTGTTGCTTTATCATTACAGTTGATGTTTTGTCATTTATCTGATGTTTGGCCATCTTGATTGTTGCTTTTGTCTTCTTAACTAAAAACACAAATCAACCAAAATATGTGAGCCGAACTACGGCTGCTCTGATTCCTTAAAAGGGATACATAGGCATTAGGGTATGGCCCGAACGAGCACAACTTTTATTTTCCCTAGATTATTTTCTCTTTTCTTTTGCATGCATTCCCTCTTTGTATTTTCTTTTAGCTATTAACCTTTAGATATAGATTTACACACTCTTAGATTAGAACAAACAAGAGTGGATACCGTAGAGTACTACGGGCGTGTGGGGTGCTAATACCTTTCCCTCGCGTAACAGACTCCCTTACCCGATATCTCGGTCGCAAGACCGTGATTTCATCCTCTTCAGGTTTTCTCGATGTTTACCTTCCCCCTTCTTGCGGGATAAGAGACGTTTGGTGGCGACTTCATTGATTTCATTATCAGATGACGGTTTGGCCGGTTATTTCATAAGGGACTAGATAGGTCTGTAGCCTTAAGAAGTCTTTGACTTGCGAGTCTTAGAAGTTGTTAGTCACTTGCGGGTAACTTGTACAAATTGTAATCAGTTTGATTATAGTGAATTAAGTCTTCGATTGAGTGAGACGAAATCTCCTTGGAAGGTGGACTAGACTAGCTTGAACTAGTATAAACATACATTGTTCTTTGCTTCCTATTCTTACTTATTGTTATTATCAAGAGTGAAGGTTAAAAGGATTTTAACTTAAAGAGGAATATTTTTAAAGAATTTTTTTGTTTTAGAACCTAATTCAAACCCCAATTTCTTGTGTTTTTCACACTTTCAGGATTTGGGGTTCAATTCATCAACCCTAGCGTGGATTCGAGTAGAAAATGATGATTTATTTAGGATTCGTGTTTGGGTATGAGAAAGGTAAAAATTATTTATGTCTCGCCTTGTGTCATGCCTAGAGACAAGGAGTTGGTCATAAACAAGAATGCCTAAACTTTCAATGCCTAACTGATTATCCGCCATCTTGATCTTCTTTGCTTGCGTTAGGCTTGCAAACATCAATGCCTAAACTTTCAATACTTCTACTCACCTTTGTGGAATTAAGATTTCTTGCACATTCATTTCTAAAGTCTAAAATCATTGTCTCTAGAAAACTTTTCAATGTCCCACTTAGAACTCGCAATATTCACTTGTTAACTTAACCACTTTACTCTATGGTGGATGTCACTTATTGTGAAATTGAAAGGTTCAAACACACCAAAAACTTTCATGTGTGGCAAAAAGAACAGTAGCAACCAAAATAATTGAACTAAAAAAAAAAATTTCTAAACCGTGTAAGCAAACAACAAGAATAAGAAGACAAAATATACAATGACTACACACAATATTTATTTACTCAGTTCAATTAAACAAATCTACTATGAAAAAACAACTCTCTTATTCAATATACTTTAAGAGTTATTAAAAAGAATTACAAGATGAATTATAAGATAATAGTCTTCTAAATTCATAAACACATAACACAAGTCCAAGATATTAATAATTTTTCTCATTGATATTTTCAAAAATATTTCAATCTTAGTACAAATTTTTTTAAGGATCCCTTAATTTCTCCCTTCTCTATAAAAAAAAACTTTTCTCACGTACCTAAAAAAGTTGAAAATTATCTGTCGTTTATTTCAAGTGATTTTGGTGTTTAATGAAGTCATCTTTCCGCGTCAAAAAAGAATCTATCTATAACAATTAACTTATCCCTAATTATTTTCTAATAATCCTCCAAACATGGAAATTTAACTTCAAAATTCAAATACCTTGTTTGGCCGTTTAACTCTACAAGCTATTAACTTTTTTTCAACCTAGGCCCAAAAAAAGTAAAATAATATTACCAAAGAATACACAATCACCTAAGGACAGACATTACCAATAAAATATTAAAAAACCAAAACTCTTATCTCCGATCAATGGTTGTGCCATGTCTATTACACATCTCCAAAATTTAAGCTAATCATAAAAGTCCAAATCAAGGTTTCGAAGTCATAGGCATTAGCACAAGCTCTTTAGTTAGGAGTGATAGTGAAAGGTTGAATTCATGGGAACCGTTTCATCATGTTATGTAACCACCACCATATGGTTCGGTTTCCCAATGTGTAAAGTACGTTCATCTTACGCCACAACAAATGCACTTAACCACTTATGCATTGCCTTTTTATCATTCATAAAGTACTTGCTTTCCAACTGCCATACCATGCCCTACCTTAAATCAAACTTTCAAAATTATTTCACTCACCCACCTAGCCCATACGCTATCTCACAAATTATACTACCAAACAATTAGTTTTTATTATTGCATTATCAAACACAAATTTGATCAAATTCACAACTAAATTAAACATAAACTACATAAAGAAGAAAAAAAACTTCTCATGCCAAAATAATATTTTAAGTTTAGACTTAAACAAATAAAAAAGAAAATTAAAATTTTCTAATTCTTCAAAATATCAAAGTCACCTAAATCCTATTAAGTTACATAATGCAACGCCTAATAGAGACTAAAAAAAAGTTCATTAATTTAACTTGTTCTTCAACCTAGTTTATTTTTCTAATAAACTAAAAAAAAATCAAAAACCGGGAGCAGCAGGGTGAACCGGTGAACCGGGAAGAACCTCCTTCTTCCGCCGCATCTCCAGAACCTTCCGGTGATGATTAGAATGCATTTCACTCGAAAAAGTGGGGCTACAAGCGGGTCTGTATTCGGGCAACAACCGACCCGACTTGTACCGAACCCCACACGCATTACAAAGCGTTTTCGGTCCAGCCGGTCCGGTTCGCCACTGAGGAGTTTTCTGAACCCCACAATGACTACACCGCCGCAGCACACCTCTCCCTTCGCCTCCGTCCAGTGAACCCATCCTCCTCTTCGGTTTTTTCTCCGGCGGCTTCGAACATTCCTCGAGGTGAGATGAAGAGGAAGAAAGAGCTGTGGAGCTTGAGGTTGAAGATGAGTCGACTAGTGAAACTGGCCACACGCGAACCCCGGTTCTTGTTCTTTTGCTTCTTGCTTTCCCCGGTACCGAAGTTTTGAAAGAGGGGGTTGAAAGGGCTGGTCTTGGTTCAGGAGCTTTTGGTTGAAGAAGAAGATAATGATTCTCTGTCATGGAGAATTGTGAGAAGGAATCTTCAACGAAATAAGATAACCATTCTAAGTTTGCAGCTTCTTCTACCTAGAAATTTTTTTTTTTGAAACTTTAGTTAAATTCCAACACTTCAAACAAAACAAAAAAGACAACCTTAAAAACAAACAAATAAAACATCCTTAAAAAAAAATTTTAATGTAAGAGTAGGTGTGAAACTGTACCGGAACGGTGAGTTCGGTAGTTGGTAATGATTCATAGTGGTCGTTGATAATGGGGTGTGAAATTTCATTTTGATTTTGGGTATTTTGTTGTTGTTTTTCTTCTAGAATGTCTTGTTGAGGTTGTTGGAGAATGTCTTGTTCTTGTTCTTCTTCATTGGAAAAGTTGAGGAAATCATCGACAGAGAAATCATCAATAGAAGCTATGTTTTGGACATGAAAATCCTCCATTTTTGTTTCACCTTGAGAGGGATGAAGAGAAGGTGGAGAAGAGGAAGTAGTGAAAGAGTTGAAGGGTGAAAGAGGAAGGTGAGTTTGGTGAAGCATTGAATGAGGATTACTACAACACAATGTGCCTTGTTTCTTTAACCTCAATGTAAATAAGAGAGTGTCATGGTTTGGATTCAACAATGGTGGTCTTATATAATTTTATGTTTGGTTCTAGTTTAAAGAATTTAAAATTGATGTTCATACTTTTCTTTTTCTTTTTTAAAGTAGAATTAATTATATCTCTGAATATTGATTATAATTTGAAAACATGGTTTATGGTTATAGCTTTTTAATTCAAGTGTGGCTTTATACTTTAATTTATTCTTTGACTCATTTCTATATAAATGTTTTTAAATGATCATTACTTTTTATTATACTTTTATTTAATTTGAATTAATTTTATTTATACATAATCAATTAAATACTTGCAAATTAAGTTTTTTTTAAATTATATAAAAAATTATATATTATGTGCATAAAAATATAGAGAAAAATAGTGATGCATTTACCGTGTAAATTACTTTTATATTGTCAACTAATTATAATTTTATATTAAAATAAATTATATTTTAATTTTAAATTTTTTTTAATGATAAGATAATTTATTAGTTTTTTAATTTTATACTGTCGAGGCATATAAATTAAATCAAAAAACATATATAAATATCTTGAAACGAATATATTTAAAAATATATTATTTTAATTTGATAACAAAAAGAAATATTATTTTAATTTGATAACAACAAAAATATAATATTATAATCTATTTAAAGATATTATTATATTATATTTTTTCTGTAAAAAAAATAATTTAAAAATTAAAAAATAATACGTAAAATAGTTTTATATTATCGTTCAATAAAAATTTATTATTTAATTATATTATATAACTTATTTAGAAATAATAGTATAATTTAAGACTTAAAATAATTATGATTGATTAACAATGTAAAATTATTTTATATTTATTGACTGATTATATATTCATTTCTCTCATAATTTAATAATGAAAAATAACCATATATAATGATTACATCGTCACATTTTTTAAATATACAGTAAATGTGTCGTAATGTCTTATAAATAAATATTCTTTTTCTATGTATAAAAAAATATTCTTTTTCTAAAAAAACTAATAGTTAAAGTCGTATTTTAAATGTTGAAAAGTGATGAATCTTATATTAAAATTTAGGCTCTTGTATATTAAGTTATTTATTATTATTAATTATGGATGTCAATTTGTATTTATTAATAAAGAATTATGTGAAGATTAATTCATTGAAGTTAGAAAAAAATTTCTCAACAAAGATGGGATGGAGGAAAAAGTTCCTCCGGTAGACTCTAGAGCAGAGATTGAAAAAATACTATTTATCTTGTGAATTTTTCGATTCCGACTATATTATTTAATTTTTATATTTTATATATTATATTATATAATATATAATTATATAATTTTACATAAAAACATATTAATGTATTAGAAAATGAAGAGTTATTAGTGGATCATTTTATTTTTATATACCAAATCCTAAAAAAAATGCACACAATACATAGATGCACACACTATCTCTTCATTTTATTTTCTCAATTATTTTTGTCTCCTCCATTCATCATCTATTTTATTCTCATCATCATCACAACAACCACTCTTCTTTGTTCATTGTGCTTATGGTAATTATTCTTCAAAGTCACTTTATTTCTATTAATAACGTGTTTTTCATTCAAATAATAAATTAGTAATTATGAATTTGTCACACTCACACATAATCAACCAATTGTATTGGACGACAACAATATTGTGGTAGTAAATTAACGGAAGTATAGTAGCAACAAGTTCTCTTAATATTTATTATTTTTTACAGAAAAAATATTCGCAACAAGTGTTTTGCTTTTTTTTTTCTTATTGATGCAAGATGTATTTTTATTTTTATTTTTAAGAAAGATGCAAAATATATGTATTTTTTAACAAAAAAATAAATAATGAAATACGAGTGTCATAGTTTTGATAGAAAAATATAGAAATGTTCTTAAGATTCGATATCCGTAGGGATATGTGGGGATGTGGATGGGGATAATATTAGAGGCGGGACGAGAAGTGGAAAAACATCCTCTGAACATTCTATATCCCGTTGACATTCCTATTACCAATTGATTGTAAATGGGAAAAAAATTATTGTTTTACGAGCAAGTGAAGAAAAATTGATGGGTAAGCAACATATATATTAAGTCAATAATCATATCACTTTATAATATTTCCTCGTATTGTTATATATTTTTCTTTTGTAATATTTTCTCTCCAAATTTTTGTTCATTTAACATGTCAATGCAATATCTATTAATTTATTTTAATAATTTATTTTTATTTTTTGTATTTTATTAGTATATTTATAAAGAATATACAAGAGACAACATAAGATTCACCAAAAGTGGGCAAATAACACTCATTGCTCAAAACCATGGCTATTAATCGGCCACTTATTGTAGAGTGTCCATTTATCATAATATGCACTCATTATTTATAGTGGAAAATGACGTATCCCTACCTAGATACGGTATGGGAAGGGCAGCCGAAGAAGAGAGTCAAATTTTGAGGAAATAATTGCTCCTTTCTCACGCTTCGGAGAGAAAAGTGATAAGATATCATGAGAGAGGAATATTCACATTGGATTAAACACTTATCTAAAGGTCAAAGACTCATTCAAACAAGTGAGAGAGACACCACATATTCACACAAAATCTTAAGGTGATATGTGTACGGGTCATCTCACTTATAAAGTGTTAAACCTCCACTTTTCTTAGTAATGTGGGACTTACAAATCACTTGCTTCTCAATAATCTCCTCTCTCAAGTATGATTTTATCTACTATACTATTTCTCAAGCGGAAGTTCTTTCATCCACATATTTGTACCGTCATTGACAAACATCCTTACTCGTCATTGGTGTAACAACCCAATTTTACCTGATTGTTGTACCTCAAAATTTGCTCTCTCATATTTCCCAATACATGTCAAGTGAGGTCCTCAAATTGCTCAAGGAAGTTCAAAAGTTGCTCAGTCAATTGCTCAAATGCCTGAAAATCAACTATACTAGGTCAAAAGTCAATTGTGGCTCATACACAGTCAAACTTCAAGATTTTTGGTCAACATCCTCATTTTGAAGTATCATTCATTATTTGATCAAGGTTTGATCATGATTCATCAAGGATTGCTCACAATTCATCAAAACCCAAAAGTTGCCAAATTAGGGTTTTGTAGGAAAAGTCAACTCAACTTTGACCAAGCATAACTTTCTCATACTTCATCATAAATGACCCATCCAAAGCTCATTTTGAAGAGTATGAAATTCCCTATAATTCATATTCATCTCCCAAGTTCAAAATATGCACTCACAAGAATATATGAATTTTGACATTATAGGTCATTTTGGAAAGTCAACAAAAACACTTTTTGGGTCAAAGCTTCATACATGAACATGGAAGACTCAATTGAGATGAGACCAAAAGGGTTGCTTAGAGGATATCCTAAGCTTTCTAAAAAGTCCAAGAACACCTCTATAGGGTCAAAATTGAAATGCATTGGCCAAGTTGACCATTTTTGCAAAATTGTCAAAAGTCAAATATGCTCAAATTTGCATTTTTTGCTAAATGGGCCCATCTTTTCAAGATTGCATCTCATTCCTAGCATAGTCCACGACCTATAGGACCCCTCATGCTTTATTTATTTATTTATTTTGATTTTTATTCAATTAAAAGTCAAATAAAATCAAATACATCCAAATAAATCATATAATGTGTTTTAGGGATGATTTTTGCATTGAAAGAAGATCTTATGTGCTGTCAAATGAAAACCAATTCGTGCAAGACTGATTTGGGTTGAAAAAGATTGATTTAAAGCAAATTTGGAAAGATATCATATGCCATGAAAGACCAAATCAAATCTTCATAATGGGCAAGATTCAATTCGTTTTTGTTGACCTAATATGTTGCACTACATATACAGAAGAAATCCAAGGCAAGAAAAGGGGCTGAGCAGTCGTGTAGAGCAAGAACAAAACTAAAAAATTTCAAGAAAAGTGGAGATAGAATTCCAAGTTACAGGCCATCTCAAGCCGTCCTGACCTTACCAATCGATTGTTGGACGCCTCAGGAACATGTTCCAATCACTAGCAAGCCTCCCCACGTCCTGAAACACGTCGTAGCAGTCACACGGTTAGCTTAAAAAACTCGTTTTCATTTTCATTGATTTATACATCATTTGCAAGTTTTGATTACATATTCTTGTTCCTTATTGAGTTTGCAAGCTAATCATTATATTCAATTGCATTTTTTATGATTGTATGTAAAATTGCCATGGCTAGGGTTTCTTGTTTTGTTTTAAGGCTTTGCAATACGTGTTAAATTGAATGTTGATTCTGGTACCATGATACTCGTGAGGATGAGACGAGTTGATTGGTACCAGCCATGGTCATTTATCTAGCTTGTGGACAATTTTTGAGATACACAGGTTTGTAGCTACAGCGCAATATCCGTAGATAAAAACATCTTGGGCTAAAACGACAGTTGGGAGGAAGAAGATGATGTGTGGCACTCCCTGGTTGGGCAGTTTGAACTTTAGCACGTTTTTTCCATTAATAATTATTTTTCATATATTATATGTTGTTTTAATTATCTATATAAATAAGAAAAACATCTCAGTTGGCAAGCAGGGATTGGAAGTATGCATAAGGACCTGGGTTCGATCCCCAGATCCCAACCTTTGTTCATATTTTTCTTCAATAGGTAATCCAGCACGCTACACATCAGGAGGTTCACCGTGTGCCATCAAGATTTGGCCATCAAACGCCTCCCCAGCCAGATCCAATGCCATTCCACTGAAGGCCCACCATACGCCCCAGGTCAATGCATGCATTGAATCAGGCAAGGTCAAAATGGGCTGAGATTCACTTGGGCCCAGAATTCGATTAGTATACCCCCCAACATTGCTTTTAGGCCCATCTCTAACCCTTTTCTATTTATTTCTTTTCTTTTAATCCATTTAATTTCCTTTTAATCCTTTTA